GATTATCGGGGGTCCACTGTAATAATAATAATAATCCGGCTTTATTTATACAAAGTATAAAAAGACGGAGTGTCGCTAAAAAGCGTTTTTCAACTGAACCCAATGTAATTAATATATATTTTTTTATAAAACAGTTTTTTCTATTGTGTTCTAAACATGAGTGACATCAATTTCAAGCAACGGTATGCTATCAGATTTTGCCTTAGACTTGTGCACAGTACGAGAGAAACAAATGCTAAACTTCGGCAGGCCTATGGAGATAGTGTTTTGTGAACAGCCAAGGTTTTTCGGTTGTTTCCGGGATATCGCGCATTCAGATCGTTGGTTGACAGTCAGAATGATCATCAGATCAAGAACACTGGTTGGTGCGTCACGATAATACTCCTTGTCAAACAGCAATGTCAATAAACGAGTTTTGGGCCAGTAAAAACATTTCTGCGGGTGGTGAGCCTAGTTATTCGCCTGACTTTAGTTCTTGTGATTTTTTCTCCTTCCGAAGTTGAGGAATCACATCAAGGAACTCATTTTGCATTCAAGCATTCAAACTACTGTAACCGATCAGCTGGAGGCTAGTCCAGAATCCGAGTTCCAGCAATGGTAAGGGGCTTCAGAAGGATGTTATTTTGAGGGTGAAAATATAAAATTGTAATTATATTTGGATAATAAAATTAAAAAAATCAGTCTCATCACGTAATTTACAGACTTCGTAGTAGGAACAGTTATTCTTTTGACCCTATTGTTATCTTTTTGCTGTTCTTTGCGATCCTTTGTTATCTTTTTCTTGTTTATGTTGTTCTTGGTTGATTAAAACTTATTTTGCCAGATCGCTGGAAGTAAAAGGTTGACGACTGCCCACATTTCAGGTTTTTATCGACGAAAAAGGCGATGCAGAAGGAAATTTTACAGTGGTAGCACTGCTAGACGATACAGAAATGAATGGTACTCTGAGGATGAGCATGCAGCCTGTTGGTTATTTCAGATACAGTGAAAACGCTAGCAGCAATCCCAATGCACTTCCGGTACAGATTTTCATTCCCTTAAGCATAGTTTTATTTAGCAATTCGGCCAAAATATTTTCAAAATTTTGTACTGACTTTGATATAATACTTTTTTCGCTACTGAATAGTCTTTTTGTGCTCTTTGATCTACGGGATTTTGGGCTTAGCTTTATATAAAAGTAAAAAAAAAAAATAAGTAACCTGTCACGATTGTCAGTAGCAAGTTTTGTCAATTTAGAAGTTTTAAAAATTCTTCTTAGTTATGAAAATTTGAGTGTATTGTATAACTGATTGCAGCAATTTGGCTAAAATATTTTAAAAATGTTGTACTGTCTTCGATATGAGTGTTTAGGGCTTGAAAGCTTTGCGTCGAAGTAAAAAAAAAAGTAACCTGTCTCGACTGTCAGCATTCGGTATTGTCAAATTATCACAGTTCACTTTAGTTGTCATAAAACTACTTTTTTACGCATTCCTTTATTTGCTATAGTGCTGTTAAAATACTTGCTCAATTTTTTATTTCTTCGCGAGATTTTAAATTCCTTTTAACCGCTTTTGCGATACCTCAAACCTTGCGTAAATAATGACAAATGCAGACCAATAAGCTATAACAATTTTTCCTTGTATTTTTGTCTTTGCCATATAATTTGTAAGAGGTTCCTTATAGTTGAGGACCTACTTCAATTTTATTCCGAATTTGGGTGTCAAATAGAAATAGGATGGTCAAGAAATAGAGACTGAGAGTTATGTTAGGAAATCCAAAAAGTTGATTTTTTCAAACGAAAACCACTGTTTTTATAATTTCGGGTGATATACCTCTCAACTGAAGTTTTTATTTTTTTGCTTAGATGATCCTTAAAACATATATAATCCTAATTGGCCATGGCGGAAATAGGAACAACTACGCAAGAAACCAAGCTGTCACCGCTTCGTTACCAACTAATTTTGTCTTATAATAAAAGCTGAATGGAGCATTTAAGCTAGAGAAAAATAAACATACTAAGTGACATATAAATCCGAACACCCAGTTTAAATGGTTTTATTTTAATAAAATTTTGTATAAGTACTTAATGAAGCATAATAAGTAAATGATAAAAATTTCAAAATGATTGCACTGTTTTAAAGCCCTTTGACCTTTAATAATGTGTGGATGCACCCTGATGTGCTACGCATTCTCCAACGCGCCTAGGCATGCTTTTGATCAGGTGGTCAATGTCCTCCTGTGGTATCTCATTCCAGGCAACCACCAACTCCTCTCGAAATGCTTCTAGAGTCTGAGGAGGACGTTGCAAATTGAGCAATCTCCTACCCATCATATCCCACACGTGCTCAATTGGGGATAAGTCGGGAGATCTTGGTGGCCATGGTAACAATGTGACATCATTATGTTGAAAGAAGTCTATTGTGACTCTTGCAACATGTGGTCGGGCATTATCTTGTTGGAAAGTTGGATCTGCCAGGGTGTCAAGATATGGTAAAAGGGGTTCTAGAACTTCGTGGATATAACGCTGCTCGTTCATGTTACCTCTGATGAAGATTAAAGGTGACCTGGAACCATAAGCTATAGCACCCCAAACCATACAGTGTGATGAACATGTCTCTCAACAAAAAACTGTGGATTCCTCCTTTCATCACGTCGCCTTCTAACCCTGGCACGACCATCGTGCATGCCTAAACAAAATCGAGACTCGTCACTAAAGACAATACTGTTCCATTCCTGATCCCAGAGTGACCGTTGTCTGCACCACTCAAGGCGATTACGTCGGTGTTCTCGAGTTAAAGGGAGGACCCAGTGTGGCCGGTATGAAAACAAGCCAAAACTTCTCATTCGTCGGTAAACACTTCGCATGCCAATAGGTCTTCCGTGTTCTGCAAACCATTAATTTGCAATGGACCTGGTAGTGGAGAAACGGTCCCTTAAGGCCAATAATCTTAGGCGGCGATCTTCACGGTCTGTTGTTCTACGGCGGAGTCCAGTGCCCCTTGCTCTTTGCGTACGACCTTCTCGAAGCCATGCCTGACAACACCTAACCACAGTGTCTACACTTCTTTGCACTCTAACTGCAATTGCCCGAAAAGAAAGTCCAGCTTCCCGAAGTCCCACTATACGGCCCCTATCAAACTCACTAAGTTGACGGAATCGTACAGGTCTCCGTACTCTAGGCATCGTAACCGATCGCAAAGGATGTCAAGAACCAAAATCCGCCAACGTTGATTCTTTACTGCGGCTGAAATATCCATTTTTAGAGCGTTAGTGAATTAAAAAAAAGCAGTATAAAAACCGGAATGTCCAACTGATAAGGCTGAAAATTTTTTCACTTGTTATTTACAGTAAGATAATACATTCACCAACTTTTATTAAAATAAAACCATTTAAACTGGGTGTTCGGATTTATATGTCACTTAGTATATTTCCATATAACTCTTTTAGAGATTTCGAGTAATTTGAGAAGCAGACAACGCTATGCAGGATTAACCTTATTTTCAATGGTTAATACGATGAAATTATAAAAAGTAGTTTTTTTAGAGTTTGGAATAAAATCTACTAAAGTACAGGGTTTTCCCGCAAAGTAATAGGACTGGATCGATTTAAAAAAATTATTGAGCCGATCGTTACAATTCTTTAAAAACTTTCAAAATAGGCTGCTTCTGCGTCGATGCAGCGCTGCCAGCGCGATTTCCAAGCATTGAAGGCGCCACGGAAGGCATTCTGCGGAATAGTATTGAGAGCCGCGGTGCATGCTGCTTGGATCCCCTCTGTCATCTCAAAATACTTGCCTGTCATCGGTCTTTTCAGGTGAGAAAACAAAAAAAAGTCCGGGGGGGGGGCACATCTGGGCTGTAGGGCGGCTGCGGAAGCGTTGGGATGCCGGCCTTGGTCAGGTAGCTGTTCACAAGAAAGGCGGTGTGAGCCGGGGCGTTGTCGTGGTGCAACTTCCAGTCGGCTGCAATGTCTTGTCGGACCCGACTAACCCTTCGTTTGAGTCTCCTAAGCACTTCCACGTAAAACTTGGTGTTGACGATTTGTCCAGGAGCAACAAATTCATGGTGGACAATGCCTTTGATGTCAAAAAGGACAATGAGCATCGTTTTCACTTTGGATTTTCTCATTCTTCCTTTTTTTGGGCGAGGAGATGCCGTCGTGTGCCACTCGTAAGATTGCCTCTTTGTCTCGGGATCATACTCAAAGATCCACGACTCGTCACCTGTGATTACGTTATTCAAAAATTGGGGGTCACTTTCACACATGTTCAAATTTTCTTGGCACACTTCCACGTCGCAATTTCTGGTCGTCAGTGAGCACTTTTGGGACCATCTTCGCGCACAGCTTGCGCATGTTCAAATGCTGTGTCACAATGTCATGTACCACAGATTTTGGTAAATTTAACATCTGGGCAATTAAACGAATACTTAGTCGACGGTCTGAGTTCAAAACACACACGGTCTTCATCAGCGACCTCTTCCTGGCCCTCCAAAACGGCCTGGTGCCACCGAAACACACCATTTCTTGCTAAAGCAACACCTGGGTAAGCCTGCTTGATCATATCAAAGGTTTCTGTCGCAGATTTACCGAGTTTCACACAGAATTTAATCGCGTACCTCTGCTGTAACGAACGCTGCATTTTCGGCTTGCACCACTCGCAGAAACACGGCGAAATTGCCTGTCCTGACTCTCCAAGTGCTCGGAGACAACTGATCAGCCGCTCATTCATTAGCTAGGAACGCCATCTACCGAATCCAGTCGGTGCGTGCACGCTCCGAAGTACAGTCATGGCGGAAGAATATGAGTCCTATTACTTTCCGGACAAACCCTGTACATAAAGTTTCATAAATATCTTACGTCAACCTTCTGTGTAATCGACGGCTGATGATCTATGCAGACGAGCTTTTGAATGTAAGCAAGCCAAAGCATCCATATCGGTGCAGCGGACACGCACCTCAAAGTAGCAAGTAGCAGATAAAAATACCTTTATGATTTTGTTTTGAATCTAATAAAGAGATTTCAAATCATAATTGATATTTGTAGACGTTATTCATATAACTTGTTGTTGGTTAGATAAAGTGGGGAGTGTCAAGAACGCTGTAAGTCTTATAAGTTATTTTAGTCTGGATACTCTGTAGCTTTGAAAACCAACAGTAATTTTTCTATGCCTATTAAAAAATTTCCACCATTACTCAAGCGGCAACTGAAAATTTGTCAGTGTCCATTATGATGCAAAAAGCACTCTTACTTTTACACAATATCGTTCGCAGAGCGCACCTTCAAAACTTTCATCTCAGTTTTTGTTCCACGTAGTCGCGGCAGTAAAACTTGTTAAGAATTGTGGAGACTTCAATACAGATTGTTTGGCTGAGGAAACAATTTTCTGATATACGCGTGATGGATCAAAATATAGGAAATTTACTATAACTTTACCTATGGGGTATCTACCGTTTGTTGACTGCTATGAAGGCAAAACATGATAATTTATTCAACGTGTTTGAACAACAAATCGATAAAGTGAACCTTGAAATGACAAGTAAGATGGGTCGATGACACGGGAAATTGAAATAGATTATGTTATGACTCATGCCTGTATGTCCTTACCATTTTTTTTATAATTAATTTTTTTTTAAGTCTTATAGATAGGCCAGTGAAACTAGTGTCACGATTGTGAATTGTGGTTAGTTCTGCACCCTCGATTGGCGCTGCAACGGGCTGCGAATATAGCGTTGCACTATTTTTATTTACAAAATATACTAAGTGACATATAAATCCGAACACCCAGTTTAAATTGTTTTATTTTAATAAAATTTTGTATAAGTACTTAATGAAGCATAATAAGTAAATGATAGACATTTCAAAATGATTGCACTGCTTTAAATCCCTTTGACCTTTAATAATGTGTGGATGCACCCTGATGTGCTACGCATTCTCCAACGCGCCTAGGCATGCTTCTGATCAGGTGTTCAATGTCCTCCTGTGGAATCTCATTCCAGGCAACCACCAACTCCTCTCGAAGTGCTTCTAGAGTCTGAGGAGGACGTTGCAAATTGAGCAATCTCCTACCCATCATATCCCACACGTGCTCAATTGGGGATAAGTTGGGAGATCTTGGTGGCCATGGTAACAATGTGACATCATTATGTTGAAAGAAGTCTATTGTGACTCTTGCAACATGTGGTCGAGCATTATCTTGTTGGAAAGTTGGATCTGCCAGGGTGTCAAGATAGGGTAAAAGATGGGGTTCTAGAACTTCGTGGATATAACGCTGCGCGTTCATGTTACCTCTGATGAAGGTTAAAGGTGACCTGGAACCCTAAGCTATAGCACCCCAAACCATAACTCCAACAATGTGATGAACATGTCTTTCAACAAAAAACTGTGGATTCCTCCTCTCACCACGTCGCCTTCTAACCCTGGCACGACCATCGTGCATGCCTAAACAATATCGAGACTCGTCACTAAAGACAATACTGTTCCATTCCTGATCCCAGAGTGACCGTTGTCTGCACCACTCAAGGCGATTACATCGGTGTTCTCGAGTTGTGTGTGGCCGGTATGAAAACAAGCCAAAACATCTCATTCGCCGGTAAACACTTCGCATGCCAATAGGTCTTCCGTGTTCTGCAAACCATTCATTTGCAATGGACCTGGTAGTGGAGAAACGGTCCCTTAAGGCCAATAATCTTAGGCGGCGATCTTCACGGTCTGTTGTTCTACGGCGGCGTAGAGTGCCCCTTGCTCTTTGCGTACGGCATTCTCGAAGCCATGCCTGACAACACCTAACCACAGTGTCTACACTTCTTTGCACTCTAACTGCAATTGCCCGAAAAGAAACTCGAAATCGTACATATCTCCGTACTCTAGGCATCGTAACCGGTCGTAAAGGATGTCAAGAACCAAAATCCGCCAACGTTGATTCTTTACTGCGGCTGAAATATTCATTTTTAAAGCGTTAGTGAATTAAAAAAAAAGCAGTATAAAAACCGGAATGTCCAACTGATAAGGCTGAAAATTGTTTCACTTGTTATTTACAGTAAGATAAATACATTCACCAACTTTTATTAAAATAAAACCATTTAAACTGGGTGTTCGGATTTATATGTCACTTAATATATAATCGAATATTGCACAAGTGGAAAAATCTAATATATTTTTGGACATAATAAATAAAATTATTTAATGTATTAATGTCTTCTAGGAATTCAGGTATATAAGCCTTGATAGGCCAATACAATGGGTTGGTGGAAAACTCCCAAGAGCAGAACCAAAATGTGGATTTTATGGAGAAAAATGCATTTACAAAATAGACTGGCGATTAGTTACTAGTATGACTTTACTGTCTACAGTATTATTTATAGGTGCATTGTTTGCTTTGAAGTAAGTAAATGTAAGTAATTCGATTTGTACTTTATTAAAAATGTTGTAGGTACTATCGATACGAACAGAAACTGGCTTGTCTCCTTTGGAAAATAGATATGAAAGACGTAATTTTGATTTCCACCGAAACAAACACAGAAAGGAACACTTGTAATAAAAATATGGTAAATCTAATCACATATTGTTAAACTGAAACAGTCGAGAAGGTATAATATGAAGCATAAATATCAGAGACTACTATAAGGATGCTATAAACATACCAGTTGTAACAAAATTAAAAGAACGGCTCTGTATTCTACCAGGTATTGTTAATCCGATTTTTGAACTGCCTAAGGTCACTAGAACTGGGCAAAGCCTCTTCAAGCAGATTGTTCCGCAATATCGACACCCTAGGAGTGGTCGTACCGACCAGTTCTAGATATCAGGCTGGTCTGTTAGGCAGGCTCGTCGCACAGCGTCATCATGCAGGTGAGCTCTGACGAGCAAAGTCCGTTGACATAGCAGCGATCATGGACATTTTAAGCGGGGCATCAGCACCACAAATATGTGAGCTGTACGTACTGGGGAGATTTTGTGGGAAAAATTACTAGCTTATTTCCTGCCGCGAATGACGAGATATATTCGTGCTAGATCAAGTCCTCAGCGATCTGGACTCCGGCCAGCCGAAATGAACGGTTTTTGGTAGATCTCGACCGTTCACCGGATAGGCGCTAGAACACTTTTTGTTAGTCAAGGTACAGAACTGTGTTTTGGAACAATTAAACTGTACCAAACTGTTGCGTTCCCTCCAGAAGAGGAAGTTGCTGTTACTCTTCTTCTCTTCAGTTTACCAGAGATAGGCCTGGCACTCTGAATGGCATGTCGTCAGCAAAGACCGATGCAGCAGGTCGTGCAGTCGAAGCGTTCGCTCTTACTCAAGGGCTGACCCAGCTGGTGACGACCCCACTTTTTTCCCCCGCGTCTCCTCACACGCCAGTAGCCTGCTGGATCTCTTTCTGACCACGCATCCTGCCCCTTACAGCACTGCCGTCCTGTCCCCCCTGGGTAACTCAGATCACGGTGTTGTGGAGGTTAGGTTTCGGTCAGAAGCCGCTGTGGCCGCAGAAACTCGCACAGGCCGCAAAACTTGGCATTACGGACATGCCGACTGGGAGGGGCTCAGAGACTTCTTCTCTAGCTTTCCTTGGAGAGATGTCTGTTTCACTGACGCGGATGCGTCGACTGTCTGTTCTTCAATAACCGAAATTATCCACGTCGGAATGGAGGAATACATCCCTCATACAGTGAAAGCTCCTAAACCAGCGTCCAACGGCTGGTTCAACAAATCGTGTGACACTGCTCGCCAGCAGAAGATCAAGGCCCACAGAACCTACTTACAAAACCCCACTGTAGAGAACAGACAAGCCGACGTCGAGTCCAGAAACAAATATAACGAAGCGGTTCGCAATGCCAAAACCCAGCATGATATAAAAGTTAGGCACAGGGTAATGTCGCAGCGCAATGGCAGTCGGTCTTTCTGGACGCTGGCCAAGCAGATTGAAAAGAACTTCTCACACAGTAGCCTTCCACCGCTTACGTGCCAGGATGGAACTATTGTATTCGACTCAAAGGCCAAGGCGGAAGTGCTAGCCAAGATCTTTGCTGCCAGCTCCACCATGGACGTCCCCACCAACGCCCAAGTGTCGTCAATTCAAAGGGTTCCCCACACTATGCGGGAGGTAACATTCAGGCATAAGACCGTAAGACGGGTGCTCTTGTCGCTCGACATCAACAAAGCCTCTGGTCCGGACTTGATTCCTGCCATTGTACTGAAGAGATGTGCAACTGAGCTTGCTCCAGTTCTTTCGCGTCTCTTCCAGATAACTCATGATTCCGGCACCTTCCCAGAAAACTGGAAATTTGCTCATGTACAGCCCATCCCAAAAAAAGGATCTAAAACCGACCCTTACAACTACAGGCCTATAGCTCTGCTTTCTGTTATAAGTAAAGTAATGGAGAGGTGTATAAATCGCGAGCTTCTGGACTACCTCGAACGTCACAGCTTGATTAGCGACAGGCAGTACGGTTTCCGGCACCAACGATCCACAGGGGACCTCCTAGCTTACGTCACGCAACTGTGGAGTAAACTCATCCAGTCTCATGGTGAGGCTCATGTCGTTGCTCTTGACATCACGAAAGCGTTCGATCAGCTGTGGCACGCTGCCCTCTTGAGCAAACTTCCATCCTACGGCCTCCCAGAAAAGCTTTGCAGATGGGTGGCTGACTTTATCTCTGGCCGCAAGATATCCGTCGTAATTGACGGATTCTCCTCTTCATCCCACAACGTCAACGCGGGTGTTCCCCAGGGATCGGTCTTGGCTCCAACACTGTTTCTCTTACATATCAACGACCTCCTTTCCTGCACGATCAACCCAATCCACAGCTTCGCTGATGACAGCACTCGACATGCAGGAATTCAGAGTGACAAGCCGATCTCTGCCGCTGAGCTGGAAAAAAGAAGACTAGCGACGACTTCTTCTCTGACAAGAGACCTGGAGGCTATCACTGCTTGGGGACGCAACAATCTTGTACAGTTCAATGCTTCCAAAACACAGTACTGTACTTTGACGAACAAAAAGCGTCTTAGCGCTCATACAGTTTCGATGGACGGTCGAGTTCTACCAAAGAGCCATTCATTTCGGTTGGTCGGAGTCCAGATCACCGAGGACCTGATCTGGCACGAACACATCTCTTCAATAGCTGCAGCTGCTGGGAAAAAGCTAGGCTATTTGTTTAGGGCTAAGAAGTACTTTTCTCCGCATGACCTTCTCACTCTATACAAGGCCCAGATAAGGCCTAGCCTCAGTATTGCTCACACATTTGGGGTGCTGCCGCCCCGACTACATTGTCCATGCTCGATGCTGTCCAGAGGAGGGCGGTCCGACTGATCGATGACTCTTCTCTAACAGACAGTCTCGGGACTCTTTCGCACCGGCGGGCCGTCGGCGATCTAGCTCTTTTCTATCGTTACACCAACGGGCTTTGCTCCTCAGAGCTCTCTTCCATGATGCCGCCGCGCGATGTGCCTGCCAGACAGACCCGCCTGACTTCGGCGTCCCATCCTAACCGTGTCAAACTTCGTACATCCAGAACTGGCCGATACGACCGCTCCTTTATCCCGAGGGTGTCTAGATTGTGAAACAAACTACGGGAGGAAGCTTTTCCCAGTTCTACTAACCTTAGGCAGTTCAAAAATCGTATTAACAAAATTTCTTTGGGATCATCATAGCAGCCGTGGTGTTCCGGCATTTAGGCTTCTGCCTGCGCGGCTGTTTCGATATAAAAAAAAAAAAAAAGATGTGGATCGGATTGATCGTACAGCAAAAGAGGTCACTGATATGTAATAGAAACATGTGGGGGCCAAGACCGATCCCTGGAGAACTATCGCGTTGACATCGTGGAACGATCAATAACGACGAATATCTTGCGGCCAGAGAGGCAACCACCCAACTGTGAAGCCTCTCTGGAAGGCCGTAGGATGGAACTTTGATAGGTCAATTCAACAAGCATGAAATACGACTACATCAAGGAACAAACTTATTCATCAAATTGATTTTATTCCTTTTGTTTCAGATAAGAGTTTACCGTAATAGTATATTCCAAGCGCCAACCAGCAATAGCGTCGTAGAGGTATCAGATCAATCGCCAAGGAGAGCTTATACAGCCATTGGGGTCTATAAGGGAAACATCGTCGCCATCAGACATATTTACAAAAGATCTGTGGATCTTACAAGGTCTATTAGAAAAGAGCTTAAACAGGTAAACAAGTTAGGCTTGCAAATTGAAGGCATGCAGGAAAAAATCAGTTTTAAAATCTACTGGGGTGAACACGTACGTATGTCTATGAGAATTCAAGAATTTTTTACATATCGATTTATCTTGCCATAAACAACATGTGATAAAATGGTCAGGAATCAGATGCCTCAACAGGATATCGACCACCTTATCAGCACCATGTTCAGGCGTGTCAATGAGTGTATAAGAAATCGTGGATCCTCAGCACATTATTGAACCAGCCTCTGCAGTCAGTTGACGAATCAAGCAGAAAATTGAGTCATTTGACTAGTAAGGGACACTGACCATATATGCCAAAAATTATTAAAATCTGATAAACATGCGTAGGTGTTTACCTTTTTTTGTCACTATATATATAACTTCAGACGTGGCCATTGTCGACCAGTTAGGTGAAAAATTAAAGCTTCCGCCTTTTGTTGGGTACTTCGACAAAATTTAAGCAAAGAGGACTCTTTATACTTTTTTTAATTCTCTCTAGGCTTCACGATGTAATGCTTTCATGTTCTAAAACATTTTTAATCTGTTTTTAACTTGTTCTTGTCACACATTTGTGTGTATTTTATATAATTTTGACCATTGTACCATCTATCCAGCTTTCACCATGTTACTGGGCGTTTCCGTCATCCTGAACGTAAACAACAATTAACAACATCCTCACATACTACTCTCCTGATGATGATGGCAAAGTCCATTGAAAGCTAGAGAGAATTAAAAAAAGTATATATATGCTTAAATTTTGTCGAAGTACCCAACAAAAGGCAATATATATATATATATATATATATATATATATATATATCCTTTAATTTCTTTGGGTAAAAGTCAAAGTATTGCAAAAGTACATTCTTATAACTTCATCTCTCAAGCTTTCGAAGGTCTATGTCTTCATCGTTTGGAGTAAGTCGGCGAGATTGTTGCTGAAATTGTTTTTATAAAAACAGTGAAGGGAACACATAGTCGACGAATAAAAAACTGGACTGGAGGTTCGATTAGGACGGAATTATTTTATTATTAAATGGCAAATCATTTTGAAAGATTTTTTCAATTAAACGTTGATTGATTTTGGAAGAAATTTGGAGATTTTAAAACTATCAACTATTGAAAATTCCTTCGAGATTTCATCTTTTTTCCACTGATAACCTCCACGTTATTCAACACGTCACTGTTGTTTAAAAACAATTTCAGCAACAATCTCGCCGACTTACTCCAGACGATGAAGAGATAGATCTTCGAAAGCTTGAGAGTTTAAGTTATAAGAGTGTACTTTTGCAACACTTTGCCTTTTATCCACAGAAATTAAAGGATATCTTCTCCTAAAAGTTAAGACAATTAACTATGAATACTGTATATATATATAATCATTTGCATGCTGAGCTAGAAATGGGTTGGAGTTGGAGTTGAAAGTTTTATATTAGCTTTGTTCCATCGGTCAATTCCTCTATTACTTGCCTCGTTAGTCGGCGAGTAATAGACGGGAGAGATTGATCATTTTTTTGACGTTGCATGACATGTATATTGCGAAAATCAATGTAATTCATTTCCATCGATCGGTATGTCCATTCCTTGAACCATTTAATTTGGCGGAGCTACGGTGAAAGTAAAAGAACATAGTTTTTTGACATTTCAGAGGCTTTTGCTCATTTTTAGACAATTTTTGACAAAGCTAATGATGGTGGTTGTAGGGAGTGGGGATCAGCATTAGTAAAAAACGTTATATTGTTAAGCAGCTTCTGTTCTCTTAAATACTGTGTACTTTTTAGACAAGATAGTCGCATTCTATACGTCTTAGACTGAAACAGAAATATATTTCTGAGCTCCAGAGCCAGACAAGATTCAGTCCAAATAAGTAGCTTAAAGATAATATCGCTTGACATATTTCTTGTATGGTTTGTGATTTAAAATGACTTATAAAGTCGTAACTTCCTTATTTTTACGGGTAGGTAGACGCTGCGAGTAGACACTGGAAATTCCCAATATTATCATGAAACTAACTTAGAAAACTCAGTTTTGGCAAACATGGATCTAACCTAGTCTGGCTCTGAGTTACAGATTTACTCTACATAGTGTAAGACGTAGAGGTGTACCGTACATTTTTCTGTTGTAAAATACTCAGAAAAGTTTTGATTTCATTTGAGAATTTTGAATAGACTTGATCAATTTTTTTTATGAGTCTGAAATTTGGAAAATATACCGTGGGATGTATAAAGTCAATCTACTTGACTCTATTTTTCCATTTATGTGATATAATGGGTGGCCCATCCATGTGTGGACGAAATATTACTCATAAACAAAAACATTTTGGGAAAACCTATTTATGGGACATGACATGTGAGGGCACATTTCTAAAACTTTGGTCATTATACAGGGTGTTCCAATTTCGAACTAGATACCCAAGCTGTGATTTTTCAACTGGAATGCCTCAAATTTTATTGCGTATTTGGATAAACCAATTCAAAAGAAGAAAAGTGATATAACATACTATTTTTTTTTTTTTTTTTTTATACTCCAACTACCACGAAGGCCTAAGGCCTAAGCACCCATTGGGTACCGTGGGGCTATGGGGGATACATGGGAAAGGAGGGACGCCACACGGACTCTGGCGAGGGAACACGTGTGCATGCAACATGCACACATTATGGCTCCGCCTACGAGAACCGCCGGGTGGTACCTCCGCGTTCGACAGTCAGAGACCATCTACCACCTACGGGCAATCACAACATCCATGGCCAAGAGAAACATTTCTCCTGGGACGGGACTCGAACCCGCACAGCGCACGGCGGCTGATCAGGAGACCGAAGAGTCTACTACTGCGGCCACCGCTGCTGCCTAAAACAAACACACAACATCCATGGCGAAGGCGAGATTCGAACTCGCGGCCCGGCCGGCCGGCTGATCAGTAGCACGGCACTCTGACCCACGCGGCCAACCGAGGTCCCGATACTATGGGGTTTTGGTAATTAGCTACTGAGATATAAGGTGTTTTGCCTAGAAAAAAACCCACTTCAGCAGCAGCGGTGGCCGCAGTAGTAGACTCTTCGGTCTTCTGATCAGTCGCCGTGCGCTGTGCGGGTTCGAATCCCGTCCTAGGAGAAGGTAGGTGGTAGATGGTCTCTGACTGTCGAACGTGGAGGTACCACCCGGCGGATCTCGTAGGCGGAGCCAGAATATGTGCATGTTGCATGCCCACGTGTTCCCTCGCCAGAGTCCGTGAGGCGTTCACCCTTTCCCCTGTATCCCCCTATAGCCCCACGGTACCCAATGGGTGTTTAGACCTTAGGCCTTCGTGGTAGTTGGAGTATAAAAAGAAACCCTCAGTCCGCCATTTTGAAATAGTCATTAAAACCCCTATGTGTCTAATATCAAAAAAAAATCTTACAAAAAATTGAATCCACACCTGCAGAAATATAGAGGGTGATGCATTTGAAATTTTTGAGAAAACGTCGATTTGCACTTTTGGTCACCCTGTATGAGCAAAAATTAAAATTAAAAATTAAAAAATTAAAATTAAAAAAGTAATAAGTAAGATGAAAGCTGAGGTGTGTAAGTTTTTTTTGATACAAAATTCAGCACTCCAAATTTCAAAATGGCGGATTGAAGGGTTGCCGGAGTGGACGGTTTTTCTGGAAAAAACACCTTACATCTCAGTAGCTAATTACCAAAAACCTCATAGTATGTTATAGCAATCTTCTTATTTTGAATTCGTCTATCCAAATATGCAATAAAATTTGAGGCATTCTATTTGAAAAATCACAACTTTGATATGTAGGTCAAAATTGGGACACCCTGTATAATTGTCAGTATTTTAGGAATGTGCCCTCAAATGTCATGTATAACATGTCATAAATCGATTTTCCCAAAATGTATTTGTTAATGAGTAATATTCCGTCCACGTATGGATGGGCCACCCTGTATAGGTATTTTCATCCATTTCTACGACAGACAGTTGCAATCTACGTGAACAAAACATTATGTAAATTTTTGAATAAAGAATGCGACATTTACATCTCTTTGTATGAGTTTATTATACTCAGCGACAAATAATAGTACACCTCAAAAAATCGAATTAATTTTAATAACACTTTACGTATATATACAGTCAGCCATGAGCAATATTAAGGCAATATTGTATTATTGGACCCGGGAATCAATATTCGACCAATGAGACGGCGTGTAATGAATCTAATCGCCGACCTCGTCTTAAAACTACTTTAATTCCCACGCCTAATAAAGAGATATTATGTTTTTTGGATGTTATACATGTACACCATGAAAAACTATGTCACCCATTTTCGTCGTCTGTCTGTTTGTCAGTCTGTCCGCTAATCTTATCTTAAGTACCACTCAGATTCCAATGGAATTTTACAGAATACTGCTATATATGCCTTGACACTTTGTAATCCTTGAAAATCGGTTCAGTGGCGGAATGAAGGCCAAAACAAATAAAAAAGAATAAAAATCGCGCAAGCTTTCTCTTTCGATGCTTCAGACGATCCTGATCATTTTCTGAAAAGTTTTGTAGGGACAAAAAGTGGAGGCTAGGGGTTGCAGGAGGTGGAGAGGATATATCTCAATTTTTTGACGTTGGCTTATTCATACGCTTCCATCCTCAGTGATTCTACGCAAATGTTAAGCCTATTTCACTCATCATAGACGTCCCTGTAGATCTACCCTAAAAATCTCATACAGTCGGGTGTCGATACGTGTGACGTTGTTCACCGATGGACAAGCGCCGTCGTCGGTGGTCATAAGTTACAGTCGGCAATCGCTTCCGCACTACTGTCGGCTGCGTAAACTGTGCATGGTGAAGGTCAATATGGTCATATAATTTTTTGTCGTACATGTTCCTGGCTAACTTTTTTCTCAGAAGGGCTAACTAGTGGCAAACATAATCCTTTACGAACTGATGTCAGCGTGTCGTGGGAGGTACAGACTCAACTTACTTGACGCCATTTTTATTGAGTGTGGATTTTCTTTGTCACTGAGTATATTTCGTTGAAACCTGCCACCCGGAACGCTAACAATTTGCAGATTAGAGAGGCGAGACACGAAAATCTCATACCATTTATCGGTGCCTGCGTCGACAATGGCAATGTGGCTATACTTACCGCCTATTCAGCGAGGGGCAGCTTGGAAGACATATTACAGAATAAGGATCTTCATTTGGATAACATGTTCGTTTCATCACTCGTCACCGACATTTTGAAGGTAAAGCCGGACTGGTACTTATTGTTATTCTCCTTACTCAACGTTTTCTCAATGCTTGAAGCAGACTGGGATTGTGGCAATAGAGAGCTTTCAGTCATCTCGTTTTGCTGCTTCAATATGATCTTTCTTATTTCAATTTTGCAAAGTAGCGAGATAATCATCCATTATCCGTTATCGAAATAAGAAAGCTCCGTTAATTACGGAGAATAGGGGAAGGCCTACTTTGTAAGGTTATAGTTTCCTTATGTGGCGCTGTTGCCTTAGCTTCTGTTATACAGGGTGTTCCTTAGAATTGCGCACTCGTTGAAATATCCCTGTAGTGTCTTTTATTCTATCACAAGCCGCAACTATTCTTTCTCTTAATTCCTCTACAGTGTTAATGGGACTTGTATATACTAGTGTCTTAAGATAGCCCCTCAAAAAGAAATCTAAACTGTTGAGGTCTGGGGACCTTGGTGGCTGTTCTTGGGGTCCACCGCGGCCAATCCAACGATTTGGGTAAACAGTTTGTAAATAATTACGAGCCGCTACACTGAAATGCATGTACCATATACTGTTTCTTATTTCTAACGGAACATCGTCAAGCAGCAAAGGCAACTGTTGTTGAAGAAAATTGAGGTAAGTCCGTCCGTCACTTCGTCCCGGCAAGAAGAATGGGCTAATAAAGTGGTTGCCAATAATTCCTGCCCATACGTTTACCGAAAATTGGTGTTAGAAACGGGTTTCGGTTACGGCACAGGGATTTTCTTCTGCCCACAAATGATTATTGTTGAAATTCTGAATGGCATTTCGAGAAAAATTAGCTTCGTTCGTGAACAGAATCATTGATTCAAATTGCAGATTTTGTGTAATTTTTTGAATATACCCTTGGCAAAAAGTCACACGCCTTGGAAAATCAATGGGAAGTAATGCCTGTACTCTTAAAATATGGTAAGGGTATAACAAAAAATCCACTAAAATTCTCCAAACAATTTGATGGAAAATATTTAAGTATCTAGCGTACTCGTTTCAGGATGTTCTTCGACTTCGAGCAGCACTGCTTCCTCAATTTCAGGTGTTCTCATACTTAGAGGTCTACCTTCAGATGTCTCTTTTCGGACAGAACCAGTTTCAACAAGACGACGATAAATATTAGAAAATGTTCGACTATCGGGCAAAGCACGATCGGGATATCTCTGGCCATAAATCCGTCTGGCTTGCTCACCATTACCGTCGGCAAGGCCATATACGTAATGCATTTCCGCCATTTCTGCTTTTGAATGATTCACCATTATTAACAAGATTGTAAAAACTAAATAATGAAAAAGATGTCACAGCGAACAGATTTGAATAACAGAGACTTGTCAGATGTCAAAAGCCAGTGACATATTCCAGAGCAACTAAATATTTATTGCTAAATTGCATCCTTCAATTATTGCATTAATTTACACCCTTAAATATTCGTATATCATTAAGGAACACCCTGTATATGCAATGTGGCAAGGTAGATTTTTATTGTAGTTCTGTTGGTTTTCTGGTAACTTGTCCGTCTGTGGTTCTATGATTCTAAATTCTTGTCCGATTTCAACATAAATATCACCGAAACTCTTTTATGAAAAAAATTGACAAAGTTTTGAAATTTTGGGGCTAGCTTCACGTGAAAATCGTAAAAAATAAGCAACTCGTCATGACTGTAAAATATTCTATTATGGAAATAATATTTCCTCAACAAGAGATGTAGCAAAATTTTCAAACACTAATGAATGCTTACCCTAGATTTCATATTTTAGGGCATGATTTACCTTCACGATAGTGAAATCATATCGCACGGTAACCTTAAGTCAAGTAACTGCCTAATAGACAGCAGGTGGGTCTTACAAATCAGTGACTTTGGCCTGCACGAATTCAAAGCGAATCAAGACGATCCCAACTGGAAAATAAAAGAGGTAAGACTTTTATGTATCTAGGGCCTCACTATTAAAAATGAATAAATTGACCGTACTACTGTGGCACCAGTCGTTGCGGCGTTGCCTAGCAACTCATAAAAAAGTTTCCGTGGGTGCCATATTATACTTAACCGAAATAATTTTAAATTATATTTTCAACGCTTTACGAAATTAAGATAAAAATTGATAGAGATATACAATCCATCGAAAGATAATGTGACAACAATTATACTAAGTGACATATAAATCCGAATACCCAGTTTAAATGGTTTTATTTTAATAAAAGTTGGTGAATGTATTTATCTTACTGTAAGTAACAAGTGAAAAAATGTTCAGCCTTATCAGCTGGAGATTCCGGTTTTTATACTGCTTTTTTTTAATTCACTAACGCTCTAAAACTGAATATTTCAGCCGCAGTAAAGAATCAACGTTGGCGGATTTTGGTTCTTGACATCCTTTACGATCGGTTACGATGCCTAGAGTACGGAGACCTGTACGATTTCGTCAACTTAGTGAGTTTGATAGGGGCCGTATAGTGGGACTTCGGGAAGCTGGACCTTCTTTTCGGGCAATTGCAGTTAGAGTGCAAAGAAGTGTAGACACTGTGGTTAGGTGTTGTCAGGCATGGCTTCGAAAAGGCCGTACGCAAAGAGCAAGGGGCACTGGACGCCGCCGTAGAACAACAGACCGTGAAGATCGCCGCCTAAGATTATTGGCCTTAAGGGACCGTTTCTCCACTACCAGGTCCATTGCAAATGAATGGTTTGCAGAACACGGAAGACCTATTGGCATGCGAAGTGTTTACCTTCGAATGAGAACTTTTGGCTTGTTTTCATACCGGCCACACTGGATCCTCCCTTTAACTCGAGAACACCGACGTTGAGTGGTGCAGACAACGGTCACTCTGGGATCAGGAATGGAACAGTATTGTCTTTAGTGACGAGTCTCGATTTTGTTTAGGCATGCACGATGGTCGTGCCAGGGTTAGAAGGCGACGTGGTGAAAGGAGGAATCCACAGTTTTTTGTTGAAAGACATGTTCATCACACTGTTGGAGTTATGGTTTGGGGTGCTATAGCTTATGGTTCCAGGTCACCTTTAATCTTCATCAGAGGTAACATGAACGCGCAGCGTTATATCCACGAAGTTCTAGAACCCCATCTTTTACCCTATCTTGACACCCTGGCAGATCCAACTTTCCAACAAGATAATGCCCGACCACATGTTGCAAGAGTCATAATAGACTTCTTTCAACATAATGATGTCACATTGTTACCATGGCCACCAAGATCTCCCGACTTATCCCCAATTGAGCACGTGTGGGATATGATGGGTAGGAGATTGCTCAATTTGCATCGTCCTCCGCAGACTGTAGAAGCACTTCTAGAGGAGTTGGTGGTTGCCTGGAAAGAGATACCACAGGAGGACATTGACCACCTGATCAGAAGCATGCCTAGGCGCGTTGGAGAATGCGTAGCACATCAGGGTGCATCCACACATTATTAAAGGTCAAAGCGCTTTAAAGCAGTGCAATCATTTTGAAATTTTTATCATTTACTTATTATGCTGCATTAAGTACTTATACAAAATTTTATTAACATAAAAGCATTTAAACTGGGTGTTCGGATTTATATGTCACTTAGTATACTTAGCTTTCATACAAAATTTATGACGTTTAAATACTACCTTGGTTTGATAAATTTAAATAAGGAATTGATACACAAAACAGACACATTAAATTTTTTTAGACTGACCATTGATCATAAATTATATTTTACTAATCATATATGCACAAATTATTTACTCTAATAGCAAATATTTCCTTTGTTATAAGAATAATCAGTTGCAACATAAGGAAAACCACATCATTAAGCAGCTGCTTTGTCTTATTTGAAGGTAGATTGAGATAAAGCATTCCGTGTTTGTGAGTCTGTTCCCAAAATTGTTTAAAAAAGTGCTATTAGATATAGAACTAAAAGCAACCTCCGAGCTACATGTATGCCTTAATTTCTAAATCTCAAAATAATGACTGCCGTATGTCCATCTTAGAAACAGCAACCCTTATTTTTAAAAATGAATGCAATTTTGAAACATCAAACATAAGTTAAGCTATATTACGAAAACAGGGTCTTAAATGACTAATACCTAAATCAAAACTTTTGAAAGGCTCAATAATTTATAATAGTCTGAATATTTCCATGCGTCTCCCTGGTAGTATCAAAAGAATTAACAATTTAGGTATAATTCCGCCGTGAACCTAAAAGCTTTCCAATATGTAAACCATATTATACCATGTGTGAGTTTTACAGTTCTACTTGAGAACCACATATGTAATTAAGTTATAGTTTAGTTTTAAGTCAGCTTTGTCCTTAAGAATGACTACATTCTTTAGACAATAAAGCATGTCTGACTATCTATACTTGTCTCCTTTAGTACAAAGGAATCAGTGGGCTGAACACTGGGACTTGACAGGCGGAGAAACCAACCATAAAGTAAGCTTTAATGGCCGGTCGTGGATAAACGCGTTTACAGGGAACCAGACATTAAGTTTCAACAAGCTTTTGAAGATGTTACTATGGTTTAAAAAATCCAAATTCTTTAGTATATTAATATTGATACACTTAATAATAGACTGGAATCGTTACTACAGTAGGTACTGTTTCTGTAGGTCAAGAGAATGCTGTACAGGGCACCGGAGTTGTTGAGAGATCCATCACCACCGTCTAGAGGTACCCAAAAGGGTGACGTATATTCCTTTGGGATTGTGTTGTATGAAATCTTAGGGAGGAAAGGACCATGGGGAAATATCGACTTAGAACCTGAAGGTAAGGTGACTCTATATCTAGATCAATTGCATTCTTCTTATTTGCCTCATAGAATACTTTGTATTTTCTTTAGGTACCTGTAGCACAGTAAGATCGCTCAGGCTAATACAGTGGCGCTTCCAGGATTTCAGTCTGGGAGGGGTAAAATGGAAAGTAAATTCTCAGTGTGACGTACTGAAGTGTTATGATCAGTTAACATTAAAAGCATGGACATATGCGGACATATGATTTGTTACAGTAATTTCTGTAGAAAATACATACAGTTGTTTATAATTTTGAATCATACGAAATCAAAGTGTGAATGAAGCAAACCAAGCTCGAGCAATCTTCGTATATTAAAACAGAAATGCAAAGTAATATAATCTATCGCAGACTTTTCTACATAACAATGTCAGACGAAACAACAAAAAATACATCTTCATGAAAAAAATAACGATAACAAATATGTTACGACTTCTATAAAGTATAAAACTGAATGTAAATCAAAATAAAATTCTTAATCATGAGAAAAACACAAAAAATATTCATTGCACAAAAACATATAAACTATGAAACTACATCAGTTCACAGTCTCAAAATAAAACGATCATTACATTAGCTTAGAAAGTGATTTGAACAGAATTTGAACAGACTTTTATATCAATCTTCTGGCCAATAAATAAAACCACATAGCATGATTGGATATTTTGGAAAAGATCACCGTGGTGGTTTAAACGTAAGTCAACCCTTAACTACATCTGCTTTTTTATTTATTGGCAACAGAAGGGAGATGGATTTGAGAGACAACCTTAGGCAAGGTTCAGGTGTTATCATATTGCAAAATCAAGGCGCCTATCCTTTTTGCTGGCGAACCGATCTATGATTGTATTCACATCTGTTTTAATATTCCTATGCATATACCCACTAATCGCTCTTGTAACATAGTGGAGCGCAGCCCAGTTTTTATCCTCTATAGATGGGAGAAACTTCTTTCAGATGTCGCAACACTTACCAGCAATGAAATCAATAATTATAGTCATCTATTAATTGAAGGAAAAAAGTGTTCATCACATGATAAATACAGTGACATTCCACTGTCTATAATATATTGTGTACGCGACTTCCCAAGGTTAAATTCTGCTTTTACTCTGGTACCTATTAAATTTTTGTTTTCGTTACTATTTAGTCCATGCAAATATTTAAAGATTGTTTCTAATATGTCCATTACTTTAGTTTTCGTTTTTGCTTTAAATGCTGATGCAAAGAAAATATTAAAATTAATTTTCTGGCTTATATAATAATAATAATAAATGCCTTTATTTCCATCATCACTTGAAATTGTAAGAAACATGATTCCAATAAATACATCCATCAAGCATATACAAACATCAATATGAACAGCATGTAAGTTTTTTAAAAATAAGATAGTAACGTGAGTAATGTGGTAATAAATTAAAAAAAAAGAAAGTCTAGAATAATATATATATATATATATATATATATATATATATATAACCATACATACCGCATAAACAAGCGCCAATATGAACGACAATTAAGTTTGAAAAAAAAAGAGCAAAGAGAAAACGTGGTGGTAAATTTAAAAGTCTAGAATGATATATGAATACATATACGTACATTATGCATCATATGAAAAAAAATATAAATAAAATAATGGGTGCAAACAAAATAAAATTGAAATTCCGAAGCAGCAGTTAGAATAATTCTACTTTATACATTCAAGGTAAGAATCACGCAAAACCGATTTGAACTTATGAATTTCATATGATTTGAGGTACTGGGGGATAGGATTGTATAGCTTATATATATTACGAGTATACGTAAATGATCTTTCATAAAATTTATTTCTGTGGAATGGAGCGGTAATGTTTTGTTTCGAACGAATATTTACGGAATGGATGTCTTTTCTGAATGTTATTTTCTCGTAGAGAGTTAAAATTTTATGATAAAAGCATATTGTGAATATCTCAAAACGAGCCTCCATAATATGTGGAAAATAAAAATTTCAGTTGGGCATAGAAAATAGCGTTAATACCAACCAGATCAACAAAACTCCGCTTGTTCACTTGCCAGCCAAATTTTGTTGCGGACTCCGGACTGGTACAGAATTTAGACACTAGACTGGACCATAAAAGACCATACCTGTTCCAACAGGAAGACGCGCGAGCGGGTTGATAGTGTTGCCGCTATCTTTTCTTAAAGTTACAGATTTTTTCATAAGACGTTTACTTTATACCACCTTTTCAAAGACTGCTCGTGTCGTCTGGAGGGGGTAATTACCCCCTTTACCCCCCCGTGGGAGCGCCAGTGGGCTAATATTTCTCGGAAGAGTGGATTTTGCGGGCACGCACAGGTTTTCAGGACATAGAGCACCAATATAGTCCTGTGCGTTGTTCTGCTTTAAGGCTCCATCAAACCAATGCGGAAAATTAGCAACAACTTCCTTTAGTTTAAAAGTTTCTCATCGGACACTCAAAAGTACGGCTATATCAATGGTAGAATAACTTAAATAAAGGCGAAGGAACAAATAAAGATGACTAATCTGAGTCCGTCAACAAACTTAATAATGTGAATGTTCTCGGAGTTGCTCGTTATTTTTGGCGTAGTAAAGAAATTCGAACTTCTAAAATTACTGAAATCCTTTCTTGAAGGAAGGAAGTTTCGGATCAAAATTAACAATGTTTTGTCAACAACACGGCGAGTACGGGCCGGTGTTCCTCAGGGTTCGGTCCTAGGACCAATTCTTTATTCGCTTTTCATCCATGATGTCCCTTCCCCCAGCAACTGTGAAGTCTACCGCTATGCTGACGACACTGCACTTGTCGCCCAGTCGTGTACTGGTGATCTGGTTCACGATGGGTTGCAGAATGCGGTGGACGAAGTTCTAGAGTGGGCGGAACGGTGGCTGATAAAAATTAATCATTCGAAAACGCAGGCTATTTATTGTACCAAAGAACGTCGCGGCCCCCCAGCAGAGGTTTCTGTAGACGGAAATCGAGTACCACGGACAAATTCTGCCAGGTATCTCGGTGTCACCCTTGATAAAGGCATGACCTGGCAGAAACATACAGCATCCACAAAAACAAAATTCCAAATTGCGTTTCGGCAACTATATCCTTTGTTATGTAGATCCTCCAAATTGAGTTTGATAAACAAAGTTCGACTATATAAAATGATTATTAGTCCAGCCATTACTTACGCATGTGCGGCTTGGTGATTTCTTGCCAAGACACACATGCAAAGTCTTCAAGTACTGCAAAGCAGAACTTTGCGGACAATTTGCAACGCTCCATGGTATGTCTCAAATGAGACACTACACAGAGACCTTGACATTCCTTACTTGAGGGATTATGTCAAGCTTCAGGCGCAGCGACGTTATAGTCAAGCGGAATCGCACAGCAACCCTCTGTTGCGTGACTCAGTAGACTACACAGTGGAGCCAGTTCGTAAACATTCAAGGCCACGGCTCGCACTGTAATCAAAAGTTAGCGTGAATCTTTAGTAAACTCAAAATTACACTCTAACAAAACCGAATCAAAAATCTGTTTAGTTCACCTCAAAATTAATCCGTGTACCAAGTCAAAAAGCCTAGGTGTTTCCTCTTGAACTAAGCATATCTGTTTTTCTTTGTTCTTCTCCTTTTTTCTTCTCTTTCCCTTTCTCTTTTTCCTTGACTTTGTCTGGTTTCTGGGCAACCAGGACTGACAGATTCGACTGACGTACATCAGACAGTGACTAATGGGCAAAGGTCCTACGGACCGCCCAGACAAATAAATGACGAATAGTAGAAATTCGAAAATTTGTTACTTGAGGTTTTTCTACACTCTGCTTATTATGGGCAATAGTGGGAATATCGAAAATTCTGAAGCCAGGCATGTCTTCTATGGTTCCATATCCATCTGACGAGCTTTACAAAGAAGTGGGAGTGGTTGACATCAGACAATTATTTTTCTAACAGCTAGCTATATTTCAGCATTTACATGAAGGTAAAATTAACAAAAATCTACAAGACAGTTGGCTTAAGGAGTAACAGGTACTTACGAGTATGTTCCAAAGCTTTCAATGCCTACGTAATGGTTGAGTAGTAAAAGACTGGCCAAAAGTGTCTGAGGTTGAACGGATGGCACTTAGCAGGGTGCGCAATCGGTTCCTACTTAAAGGATTACCCTCGTATCTAAGTTGCGCGGAGCCCCCAGCATTCTACCCTTGCCACGTGGCTAATCCGCCTGACCAGCAGCAATAAAACGAACTTTTCCAGCCGGTTATACAAATGACATTTTATCTCATGGTTCATCGTTTTATAGTCTCGATAATGTTTTTCCGACAAATTTGCTTTTGTTGACATTAACATAACGGCAGTTTATAGGATCCTTTCTTGAGTGTTTTGAAATCCAAGGATTCGTGCCTTGGTCACGACCGGCTGATCCATCGTAGTGTATTCTTATTAGGTTGATATTGGCGCATTATTTTTTCGAACATTAAAAGAATATTCAAAATAGGTGTCTGACAAGCGCATTAATCTCAGCGATAGCTTCGAAAGCGAACTTTAAGTCCTATTTAAGGTCTTTATGTTCGGCCCTTTTTTTTTGTATATACCGGGTGTCTCAAATTCGTCCTTCAAGGGGATCTCGGAAACGGTAAGGGATACTGAGTCGCTTATATGGGAGCGAAGTTACGTATTTAAGTAACTATCAAAATGCCGCTTAGAAAGTTAAAAGTACTTACAGAGATAAAAGAACAGTTTTAGATTTTTCCTGACCTTATTTGTAGTGGGATGTTGAAATAAATAACACATTAACATTGTCGCTTTTGCTGCTCTACATACAGGGTGTTTCAGTTTATTGTTGCATAACTTTAAGATTCGATTGAACTCTTAAAATTATTGCATAAAGTCTATATAAACATGGGTCAAAAAATGCGTGGCTTCCGAAATACAGGGTGTTTAAATTTACTTTCTAAAATAGTTTTTTTAAATATTTCGAACAATATTTGATGTATAACAGTGAAAATTGGTATACAAGGGTTTTTTGGTACGACAAAACGAACCCTGGGCATAGTTTTACTGTACCCGTAGAGGGCGCTCTCTACTGTACCTGTATTGTATTAAAATGACCGAAAAAAGTTGCCTAGTGCAATTTTTTGCTTTTTGAATAAAAAAACTGATTCTTCGCACAGGAAGCTGCGCGCGCGGGTTGATAGTGTTGCCGCTATTTTTTCTTAAAGTTACAGATTTATTTATGAGACGTTTACTTTATACCACCTTTTCAAAGACTGCTCGAGTCGTCTGG